GTATTAAACAGTAGCAAGTTGTGTGTGTGTGTGTGTGTGTGTGTGGTGTGTGAATATGCACACATTATTTTTGGTATTCTCTTTCTTAGTCCCTGAGGGAATGTACTGAAAAGTAAATTTTAGAAATTATCGTACTTCCTTTAATATTCTTTACTTAGGGCCTTTCGAAGAAAACTGGCATTGTTAAGAAAGTATGGAGGAATTTCCTTCTTAATCACTGCTGCTAATTAGTTATATGAGTTTACTGATGCCTCAGGGACTTGCTCAGGAAATACCAGTTAGTGATAAAATTAGAGTTACTGCTCATGGCTCCAGAATGTTCAGTCTCTGCTTACAGGATTGTATTGGTCTCTTCATTGGCCATATAAATAGAAAGTATGATATCACTGTTTCGTTTGCCATTTGGGATAAATGAAGTCTAGAAGCTATAAATCCTAATGGATCCCTGACAGTCTCAATGACAATCCATGTTTCTGATCTTTTCAATCACACATGTCAGGCACTGTAAAATGCAGGGCACTCCTACTATGCTTACTTAGTGAAGTCATTTTCCACATTCAGACTTCACTACTTCATTTTTCTTCTGCATGTGTGTACCAATTTCCTGAAGGCCTTTTGTTTCTTGTACTTGCAGAAAGCAGGAAATAGGCTAGATTATGCTGTAGTAATAAATAATCCTCAAATCACAGTGGCTTTGCACACCAGCATTTCTTGCTCACTTTGCATATCATTTGTGGGTTGGCATTGAGGTGCTACTCATTAGAGTAATTCCACGATCCAAGAGCAGTTCCCAGGTGGTACTGTGCCAAAAGGAAAAGGTGTTCTGGAGAGTCTTGGCCTGGCAATGAAATGCTCCAGTCTGGCAGTGACAGCCATCATCTTTCATTGGACAGAGCAATCACGTGCTTCATCCATCACGAGTGGTTCAGGAAGTGAACATTGGGCCCAAATATCTGGTGGTAGGGGAAGATTCTGCAAGTATTTGGCAAACAGTTTTGATGACTAAAACATACTCACAGCTAGAGATCCATTTATATTTCATTGAGGAAGCTAAAGTGATCTCCAGTCACCAAAACAAAATGACATAGTCACACCAAGACAAAGCAAAACCAAAATCATGAAAGTTACTCATTTGACAATTGTCAAATTTACCATCCTGCCTGAATTTATATCTTTTTAGCTTATTGCAATATAGGAAGTATCTTTTCTCCTATCCAATGTTTAGATCACATTTTTGTGTCAGTAACAAATTTTGAACACATACAGTGGTGCCTACTAAATGTTTACCAACTGGCTGTCTGTAGAGTGAAAAACTTTGATTTTTAGTGTTTTCTGATTTCTGTAGTCTGAATACTGTCACTGTGGCCAGTTTCAAGGTATCAGCATGGTGTAACTGAATGTATAACTGGGAAGAAATATACACAGGAGGCTGTCAAGAGAGTATGAAGAAACTCCTGCAGTCTTTTTCATGATGCTACTCATATTGATCATATATGTATATGCATATATATTTTAGGAGATCTTGATTTCTTTCCTCTTAGATAAAAACCCCACAAAGCAATAGTTTTATTATTGATTCCCCTTTCTCTGAATTTTAATGGCAAATCCCTGCATGACCCACATGGCAGACTGACACTCTAGATACTTTTGAGCTTAGGTCCTTCAGTTATTCACCCTCTCTTCTGGATCACCAGCCTGTTCCTCTTGTATAGTATTGGCAAGCTGTATTGTACACTAGTGTCTTCCATCATTAAAGATGGACCCTTGATCTAGCATTCCCCTTTATCATTAGCTCTGTCTTCCTATTCCCCGTCATAGCAAAACCACTGAAAGACATCTGTACATGGCATCTTCACTTCTTTCTCTCGATCCTACTCTAATCTAAATTCTATCCCTAGTACTTTGCTAAACATGCCCTGTCATTGTCATCAGTGATTTCCATATTGCTGAATCTAATGGGTGATTTCTGTCTTCATTTCACTTGACTTTGTCTCAGTAGATAAAATTGACTACTGCATTTTTCTTGAAATAGTCTTTTCATGTGGCTTGTGTTTTGATACATTGTTTTGGTTTTCTACTTGGTCTTGTGCTGACTCTTCTACAATTCAGGAAATAATGTTGGTCCCTCTTCTGTATTTTGACTGTTTCCCTTGGTGATTCATCCATTTCTAGGTCTTTATAAATCAGCTGTGTGCTGATGGTTCCCATAGTGAGCTCCTGGCCCCACTTTCTCTTCTGGGCTCTGTGTATATCCAGTCACCGTTTGCTACTTCCACCTGAGATTTCGTAGGTAGGTAGCTTAATGGTGACAGCTCCAAAATGAAACTCCATTTCTCCCTATTCTTGTCCCTAGTTTTTAAACGCCTCACTTTTATTTATTTCAAAAAAAGTAATTCAGTTATTAAATTTACAAATCTGGAAGTCATCTTTCTTTACTCCTCACATCCAGTCCATAACTGCATCCCCTCCCTATAAAATATATATTTTACCAGAGTGTCTGCCTTAATCCAGACTCTCAACATTTTTATCCTGGATGGTTATAATAGTACCTCATAGGATTTTCCACATTGTCTTTTGCCTCTTTCCAGTCTATACCTTATATAATAACTAAAAGTGATTTTTATAAAATATGAAGAAAATATTCTTCTCCCCTTGAAACTCCTAGTGTATTGAGAGATTTCTTAATGTGACTTTCAAGGCTGTGTGTATTCTGCCTCTGCCTGTCTCTTTATCCTCAAGACATATGATTTTCCCTTTGGCCCATACACTTTAGTAAAACTGGTCTTCTTTTTGGCCTTAGATCCAGCTGATTTTTTTGTTCAGTGCCTTCATATATTTGGTCTGTCTTCCTGTTTTTTGAAGCTTGTCACATGGCTAGTTCCTTCTTTTTCTGAAGAACTCATCTTAAATGTCATCTCTGAAGAGATTCTCTCCTATCCTTATGGCAGGTTTCCTGCTGTGTTGTTTGTGTCCTAGTACCTAACACAATTTGGGATTGTTTTTCCTTATTTATTGACTTGATTTTGTAGAAAGGTATGTGAGGGCAAGAACCTTATTTCTCTGCTATCCATAAAAATTTACCATTTTTGCCTTGGTTTTGTTTCAGAGGCGGCTGAAATATCCTAAGCTGATTCTCCGAGAAGCAGGCCATGTGTCTGAAGAGCTCCATAAAGAGGTTCAGGAAGCCTTTCTCACACTGCACAAGCATGGCTGCTTATTTCGGGACCTGGTGAGGATCCAAGGCAAAGATTTGCTCACTCCAGTGTCTCGAATCCTCATTGGGAATCCTGGCTGCACCTACAAGTACCTGAACACCAGGCTTTTTACAGTACCCTGGCCTGTTAAGGGTTCTAATGTAAGCTACACTGAGGCTGAGATTGCTGCTGCTTGTCAGACCTTCCTTAAACTCAATGACTATCTGCAGCTAGAAACCATCCAGGCTTTGGAAGAACTTGCTGTCAGAGAGAAGGACAATGAAGATTCCGTGCCAGTGTGTATGTCTGAATTCTCCAGGGTTGGGATAGGGTCATCCAGTGGTGAAGTGGATATGAAGAGCAGAGCAGCATATAATGTAACTTTGCTGAATTTCATGGATCCTCAGAAGATGCCATATTTGAAAGAGGAGCCTTACTTTGGTATGGGGAAAATGGCAGTGAGCTGGCACCATGACGAAAACCTGGTGGACAGGTCAGCAGTGGCAGTATACAATTATAGCTGTGAAGGTACAGTCTGCTCAGGAAAAAGCAGCCCTACTTGTAATATGATCAGAGTTGTTTAGACAAAACAGAACAAAACAAACGTCTGTGTGTATGTGTGTGTGTGTATTTGTGTGTTGTGTGCCCTTTTGAGGCATGTCTCACTTATATGTCTGCAGAATATTCCTCTTTCTCATCTAGTTACGGTATCTGGCTCATTGCTATACTGCACTCGGATATTTTTGCATATAAGCACTAGTGTCACTTTGTCTCTCCCATGCCCAGGAGAGCAGCATCTTGGATTCATACAGCCAACTGCCTTTCTCTAAAGCTCAGAGTAGATTGTACAGTTGCTATAATTAACTTGCTGATCAAGGACCGGGAAAACAGAAATCTGTCATATCTTTCCAGGTTCTCACAGGTGCACATTTCTTGTCTTGACAAAATGTTTTATTATGGTTGACATCATTGTCTTGATGGGCATTATTTGTCAAGTTTGGACTTGTTCTTGGTTTCATATCTTATTTGCCACTATCCTTCCTTAAAAAGCAGTTGAGGTGATTTTTGAAAGCAGGCATTCCTCTGTTTTCACACAGCTCTCTAGCCCTCTGCATAGTTCTGCGGTTTTAGATGTCATAGGGCTGCTGTAGCAAACTTGATCTTTTTCTGAAGTCTTGTTGCTTTAGAATAGAGATTATAGGTCAATTTTAGAGGCCTATCCAATTTTTCCTTCTTCTGTTGTTCAGTTTCTACGATGTGCAGTGTTGGTGAACCTTTTTGAGCTTTCAGTGATACAAACAGCCTACTATGGCATGCGTGCTATAGGTTTGCCTCCACTGGTTTAGGGTCTCCATAATTTCTCAGAACAGGATTACACAAAAGTACTCAGATACTTAAAGGCCAGCATGGCCGTTACTTTCTTCTTTGTCTGATTATTTGACAGAGGAATATAAGATATGGTATTAACTCTTCTGTTTGCTTTATTGAAAGACATTTGAAAAACTATTCATCCAGGGAATTAGCTGGGACTTTTAAGGGTCATTATTTTTTGATTACTCTATTTTTTTAAATTGTATTTTTATTGTTACTTTTACTGTTTTTTGATTATAAAATTATTGTTTTAGAAAAGAGACTTTAGAGAAAGCATTTTGTGATACTCTTAAATTTCTTAGTCTTAAAAAATTCCCCAGGATAACGGGTATCTTTATATTTTCAGTTCAAAACAAGGCACTAGTTTAGGGCTTGGAAATTTCGCAAATATCCCTGGCCTCTCAAATTGTAACACTGACCTGAGAAAATCCCTTGAAGAGATTCAATGCTGTCCTAATGGAAAGAACTGAGATCCTCTGATCTTTAATAAGGCTTTGCCAGGGATTTAAGAACTATCACATCCAAGAACTCTGAAGTGAAGGAACAATTGAGTTTGTTACTTTCTTATGGAGGCCAGTTTTAGAAATTGTAGTAGTGGCATATGATAGCACCAGCTGCCACAAAGGTGTCTTTGTGCTCCCATTTCTTCTCAGTCCGGCAGTTTAATAGTTCTTTTGTATTCCCTTCATGTGGGTGATCAAATTGATTTTGAAATCTAGACTATCTTTCAGAAAGGAATTTAAATTTTTGTCAATAGTTTCCATAGTTGAAAGTAGTTAAGCCTGATAAAATATTCAAATATAAATTATATCTAAATATAAATATGTTTATGCTTGCAGTTATCACCTGAAAGATGGAACTACAGAATTCAAATCTGTAAGAGCAATGTAATTCCTTTGTTTTCTTAACTCCTAAGGTTTCCAGAATTCTAATAATAATGATAGCACTGGGAGGTACTGTTGTTTGAGTACCTTCTCTATGGAAAGCACATAATTATCAGCACTTCACCTGTTAACTCATTTTATCTTTCCCACAATTCAATGAATGAAGTAATAATGAAAAATAGTTGTGCTCTGCATAGTGATATTTTGGTCAATGAGGTACTGCATATACTTTTGGTAGTTCCATAAGATTACAATGGAGCTGAAAAATTTATCTTACCTAGTGGCTTTTTAATATTGTAGAACTCTGAATTACTCATGTGTTTTTGGTTCTAACAGGCCTCTGGTGCTTCCAGTTGTATAAAATTATAGCACAGGGTTGGGGATTTAGCTCAGTGGTTCCACCTCCTGCTTCGTAAGTACAAGGTCCTGAGTTCGATCTCTGGTACAAAAAAAAAAAAGGCACATACAATTTTGTAATAGTGGATAGTGATCAAACGACTGTGTTACTGGTTTATATATTTACTGTACATATGTTTATATGTTTTTATTTTACAGTGTGCTCCTTATACTTCTTAAAAAACTTTACTGTAAAACACTGCTGTATTAAGTAACAAATATCATCATACATCTGATGTTTATCCTGTCTCTTGATTGCATCAAGAGGCCATGTTAAGTAACTGTCCTGTACCATCTAGGTTTGGATATGCACATTCTGTAATTCACATAGTGATAAAGCTGCCCAATAACACATTTCTCAGAGCATATGCCTGGTGTTAAGTGATGCATGACTGTACTAATATTCTCATTTTACAGATGAGGAAACTGAGGCACAAAAGGATGATTAACTTTTTCATGGCTATGCGGTTAGTAATTAGCAGAGCTAGACCTTCTGGTCTCAGAGTCTTAACATTTAAGCTTGTATACCTTATGAACAGGTATTTCCTATCCCAGTGGTAGAACTATCTTTGAGATTTGGGTTTATAAAATGTCCACTTTTCAGAAAGATTAAGGGGATCTATTTGTCATCCTTTAAAATCTTGACACCTTTCTTTTTCCTTCCAACTCAGCCCCCCATATCTACTGTAACTTTCTAGCACATAAGAATCCATTAAATTTGCTTATTCTGTGAAATGGAACCTTTCTCTGGGTCTCTATTTGTTGATTTGGGGCTAGATGTTATACAGATTAAGTGCCTTGAAACTTTTTGGTGGATGCGTTTCTTCCAAGAGACAAGATGTTCAATTTTCTGGTCTTCTTATAATCCTCCCAGAACTATGGTAAGGGCGGACTTGAAGATTTTGGTTAAAATCCTGGTTGGGGTTGGGTAGGGCTTAAGAGTGTCACATGGAGTGGAAACTTAAGAAACTCAACTGTTTTTCATGTCCTTAAACTTGTTTGTTGAGCAATTGCTAAGGCAAGTTCAATTAGCTGTTCTAGATATTCTATAGATTCAAAGGTAAATCAAATGCGCTCCTTGCCATGAGAAAACGTGATGCAGGGCATTCTTGTGACTATAATTATGAAATGGTGAACCTTTAGATCTGGAGGAGACTTTTGAAATCACCTCTTTCTAGCCTCTGAGGGGAGCAGGAAAGTAGCTTGCCCAAGGTCTCGTAATTATTTAGTGACAAGATCAGGGACATTCGTTAGAAAGTGTTGCTTGTCACTGGAAAATCTCACATCAAATGCATTGGGAGTTTAGATTCAGAAGTGATTACCTTCTGCTGAAATTAAATTCAGTTGAAGCTTTAGCTCTTTCAGGACTTTGCTCTCAATACCTTTTCCCAGAGAAATCTTCTTGTAGATTTATAATGAGCCAATCATCTCCCTTTGGCTTATTTTCATGAGTAAAGGTCATTGAGAAGTAATCTGTATAGGATATGTGTAATTATATACTAAATTCATTGGCTTTCACATGCATTTCTAGTTAATAGATATCTCCAGAAGGAAGATTGAAATGGTACAATTTTTAATCAGGAATGGCTTCAGGGAACCATATGTAAATAGGCAGAGTATTTGATTTTCTTATTCCAGCTTTGCTGGCAATTGCTTGTTACTCCTAGCTGTAAAGAATGGATTTTAGCAGGAAAGGCATTAAAAGCCCATTGTTTGATATGGTCCAGTACCTTGTTCTTTGACTGGAATACCCTTAGAAACATCACTTAGGCAATAACTGTTAGTTACCATTTTTGTTTATTTTTATTGAAGGAAATATTTTCTGTGCCATTGTCTTTATATTATAGCAAAAGTAGTTTTTGAAATATTTAACTAGTTCCATGTTTTACAGATTTTTTTCATTATTTTCCAGGTCTCCTGTGAAGGGCAAAGGAGGCTCATAAAATGTATCCTGTTGAGTATGTTACAGCTTAGAAAGTAGGGATTTTGCAATAATTTTTCTAGAACTCTAGGGTTTCTAATCATGTCTCTGATGTGGGAAAAGTAGAATCCTCTTAAGGATAGAAATTTGTTTCTATAATTCTTGAATGTCTGTTTAAAAATGAGTTTGTCTGTATTCTTTAGTTTATCATTGAGATCATGAAACAACACTAGATTGTAATTGCAGGTAGGGTTTTTTTTTCCCTGTCAGCATCACTGTCTTAAAGATCATTTGACCTGTGTTTGTTTTATGTTATCATGCTGTGTCTTGACAGTTACATTTTTAAAAGTCACATTTACTACCCAGTAAAATTCATTTGATCCTAAAAGTTGCTTTCCTTTTGGCCCTCAATGAAACTATTTATGTATGTAACGATTCACATTTCTTATGTGCTAAGCACTCTTCTAGAAGTTGAACATGTAACAATGAACAAAACATAGACATCCTTGCCATCACTGAATGTACATTTCATCAAGAGGAGACAAGATTAAAAAGTAGGTTGTGTAACAAGAGTGAGGGGCAAGCTTGCAGCCTTCTGTTGGATGCTACCATACGGCCTCATTCGGAAAGTAACGTCTGAGCAGAATTTAGAAAGAATGAATCATTTGGAAATGTGAAGGGAGAACAGTCTAGTAAAGCACATGGAGTGCAAATGGAACTTCATGGAACATGATTGGGATGTTCCACAAGCAACAAGTGTGGATGGAATAGAGTAAGAGAAAGGGAAAAAAGCAGCAGAAGTGAAGACCAGAGAGGCACGGATGTGGAAGGCAGAAAAGAGGGACTTGTGGTACTGTGATACAAAGTACTGGGTTCACAGTTGGAATATGATTGGGAGCCATTGCGGAATTTTGAGTAGAAGAGAAGCTTCACTCCAGTCAAGAGAGCTGTAAGAA